AAAAAAAAAAAAAAAAACAGAGATTAAGGACCTTACCACCACACAGGGCACTGGAGGCCTCTGAGGCATACCCCTTTAAGAGCATTGTGTCTATAATGAAGGCATGGATCCAGGAATGTGGCAGAGAGTTTGAGGGAACAATTGTCCAAATTGCTAAGAATGCAAAAGTTCAAAAGAGCCTGCAGCTAGGTTACAGAGGGCATAGAGGGCCTTGCAATAAAGCCAGAGCCCGGGTTTAACTCCCCAAGGAACCATTGAAGGTTTTTTAGCAGCCGAGTCATTTGAGAAGAACTATGCGGTATAACTACATAAATTAGTGGGACAGAGACTAGAAACTAATGTCACACCTTTCCCAGTGACAGGGGGTGCCAGTTTACCTGCAAAACCAGTGACATTGATTATTATCTTCCTTACATTGTCTTGTTTTGTTTTCTGCTTTTCAGTAGTGTTCTTACCTCTGCATTGGAAAGGTCAGTCTCCTCCCACAGTGAGGTTTCCCTTCTTCGTCTGGAATTTAAAAACTAAGTTGTCCTTTGAAAGCTGAAATTTAAAAAGTCGACCTATAGCAGTTAAGATAGTAGTGGAAGTCACCATAGTCTAGATTCAGTACAGATATTTCTCATTTAAAGACCTACCAGTTTAAGGACTAGCTGGATTTACAACCCACTGGTCGGACTTACAACGTTTGTTTTCTGCACATCTTGTTTATAGAGCCTCAATGTCTTTTTTTGTACAGTACACATTGCTTATGTAGTACTGTAGTTTTTGCTAATTATATAGTATAGTCCTGTAACTTTATGTTAAACATTACAGTACTGCATATAAGAGTTATGCAAACAAAAGCAATATCATCAAGTTCGAGTTTCCCTTAACCATTTCTTCATTCTGAATATTGTAATGTACATACTGTATGCAGTTCTTCGTTTAATGACCAGTTGAATTAATGACCTATTTATGGGAATGGAACTTGGTCATTAAACAAGGAATGTCTATATTCCTCAAAACTTGCTTTGTCTGGCTTCCAAGTCTGCTGAGCTTTGTAATTCTTAATTTGCCTTTCTAGTCATCCTGTCATCCTGTCACTTCCATTTTGTCACTGGGAAAAAGGAACTCTTATCTAGATAAGGGACTCAATAATTGTTCTTGGGAAGGACCCTTCTTGATTATAAATCTCTAAATAAACTGCATTTTAGTTTATAATGCTTGTCTTTTGAATTTAGCTGACATATGTCAGTTGTAAGCCCATTGACAAAATTAGTTTATAAAACTGCAAGATTGGTACCTTGGTAGGACCAGGGTAAGTGAGGCCTCCTAGAGCCACTAGCCCCACCCTGGTGCTCTTGTGGCACATGTGCTGTAATGTACTTGGGCATGCATGGGTTACTCTGTTTGGAGGAGGGGGATTCTGCTAAATATCACTCCAGTCCCTGAAGAGCAGTCTCAGCATCCACCTGTGAAGCTTTTACCAACTGAGCTGAATGTGCTGCTGTCTTCATATAAATTTCTTGTTCCTCTGTTTAGTTTTAAATGCTTGTCTAGTAAGTAACAAGTTTGTATCATTTCTTTTTAAATGCTAATCTCAAATGAAGTGGGAAAGGCTATGATCATGTCTAGTATTGTGCCCTGAGGCTTTACTTTTTGATAACATCCTGTGCTTACCTATCTTATTAGTGTTTTTATCATACCGCATAATTAACATCTTACGTACATGTTATCGTCTTAGTTTCTGGCTTCCTAGGTTGTGAAGACAGGGACCTTGTCTTTTCTTGATCAGTGCTTTTCTCTGGTTTGTTGGTTTGTTTTTGAGACAGGGTATTCCTGTGTAGTCACTTGTCTTGAACGAACTCTGTAACCTAAACTGGCCTCAAATTCACGATCCTCCTGCCTCAGCATCCTAAGTGCAGGGATTAGAGGTGTGCACCACCATACCCAGCATCTGTCACAACGCCTGCACTTAGTGGGCACTCAGTAAATATTTGTTAACTGAAACCATGTATCAGGCACTTTGCTTTTGAGAATTTTATTTTGTAAGAGAGACATGTACTCAACACAATGTAACTAGCAAGAAAGACATGGAGATAGTGTTGAGTTCTAAGGTGCAGGGACAAGATGCTGTGTGTTCGTGGGGTGCCTTCACCGAAAAGGGGATTTGTGATCTCAATTTTAGATAAGGGAAACAGAATAAAACATGAAATTGCCATTTTTTAGTTCTCAGTTGGGCACCCTAGGCCTGTGTATTCAGCATTTATTAGAGGGCAGAACAAAGAGCATAAAGTGCTTGGTGTGCTGAAGGATTAACATGTGGCGTGGTAGAGGGTTTGTGGCCAGACAGTAAGGAAGATTTCTTAGGGAGATGGTGGGCCCAGCTTCCTCACAACCTCTTCTTTCTGTCTGCAGTGGTTTGAATCCTCAAATATCCATGTGGCAGGGCTGGTGGTGGGAGAGTGCTGCCCCAGCCCCAGCCACTGGAGTGCCACCTGCACCCTGCATGAGTGGCTGCAGCAGCATGGCATCCCTGGCCTACAAGGTAAGCTACCATGTGTCTGGCAGAGCACGTGGCCTAGAGGTAGGTCATCAACAGCTTTCAGAAATCTGTTGGAACTTGAGTCTAAATGATAGAAGTATAGAAAGTTTAGATTGCGGTCCATGGCTTCAAGAAGAAATGGAACTACATGCAGATGGGAAATTTCCATCATACAAGGGGAAAAAATGGTATAGTGAACCCCCAGTTTCCAAGATCATCAACTCAGGATTATCCTTATTTCAGTGCCATTGCTACCACCCCTAAGGTTTTTTTTTATTTACTTATTTTTCTGTACATGGCTGGGGATTGAATCTGGACACTCAAGCACATTACCACTGAGCTACGTCCTCAGCCGTTGAGTCTTACTAAGTTTCCTAGGCTAGTCTTGAACCTTTCAGTCTTCCTACCTCAGCTTCCCAAGAAGCTGGTTTACAAGCGTGTGCCATCATACCTGGCCACCCTTAGATTATCTTGAAATAAATCTTAAACATCATATCCTCTTATCTACGATAGTGCAGTATCTATGAATAGTCTTTTAAACATGTGACCATGACCACAGTATTATCATGCATTGTAAAAATCTCTTAGCAGGCAGTTGAAAATATTCCCCATAACCTAAATTATTTCTTATTTATTTGAATTTAGCACATAAGAAGGTTTCTATGTCATACTTGGATGACATGTCTTTTACCTGTAATCTGTGGGCCCTGTAACCTGCTTGATGAAAATGGATCATTTTTCCTTAGGAGTATTTCCTAGTGCACATTTTGTTAATTATGTTCCTGTGGTGTCATTTAGCATGTTCTTTTTCTATTGGAATTACTTTCTATAATTGAATCAGCCTAGAGTTGGGGTTCAATTCAGTTGTGACACTTTGGGCAGG